GCGGAGTACATGGCAGCAAGCCATGGTGCAATGGAAGCAACATGGTTAAGGCAATTTTTGGAAGACATTGGACTTGTGCAATTGGAAGCAACTCTATTGAATTGTGACAATCAAGGATGCCTTGCTTTTGTAAAGAATCCAAAGCATCATTCAAGAACGAAGCACATTGACATTCAACACCACTTTATAAGAGAGAAGATTGAAATGGGAGTGATTGACTTGAAGTATTGTGCAACAGAAGATATGCTTGCTGATTTGTTATTAAAGGCATTGGTCAAAGATAGACATCATATGTTGACAAAGGCATTAGGTTTGAAGGGCTTTGACAATTAGCAAAGTGGGAGTGTTGAGGTAAAAGATAAAGATGAATAGATAATAGTTAAAGTAGAATAAGTTACCTCGTAAAGGATATTATCTTAGGTAAGTTGCTAATGGTCAAAGGCAACTAAGGACTAAGTGGCGGCTAGGGTCTCGACACGTGGCTAGGTTTAATGTCTCCACACACGGCTAGATTTAGAGTCTCGAGAGGCGGTTAAGTTTAGGGCCTCGAGTGGCGGCTAGTTATAGATGAATATGGATGAAGTCTATACAAATTGAATGTGAACTCTGATTATAAGTAACAGGTGTTGGAAGTAAGAGTCATCTCATTCCACACTTCTCTTATGTGCAACCTTGCTGATTTCTACTTACTTGTGTTATGCTTATAGTATTTCTTCAATATTCATTGCATCACACAAATTCAATAGATTAGTAAGAAGTCCAATATTGGCATGTTCTTTACTTACTTGAGGAAAGATGTGGTTCTTCCACCATTTACCATTGATTGATTTCAAGCGTAGTCAGTTTCAGTTTTTTGGCCTTATGTTATCATATGAGTAATGGAATTCGTCATTTATTGTGGGATCTAGGTTTTTTTCTAGATTTATCTAAAATATATACTTCCGAAATTATTATGTTATTCTGTGCCAAGTTATTTTCTATCTCTCAAAGGATATCTCCTTTCATTTGAAGAAGATTCATCTTGTTGTACTCCATGCTTGCTTCCAAGCTTCTTCTTTCATAAACCTTATCTTTTCAACATCTCTTCAACATCTTTATTGTTTGTCCTAAGAATTGTAGAGGCTTCTTTCTTCATCTCTTTATCTTCATTTACACCATCTTCATTGTCATCATCATCTTCTTCTTTCTTAGCTAAAATTAAAGATGTATCCACAAACATACTATTACTCCCAGTTAGACACATCTCCAAGTACTCACAAGCTCTCTTATATTCCAAAAATTCTACATCACGACTTTTGATGATCTTGGTATTCAAAACCATAGCCTATATGCCTTGGTACCTTCACAATATCCAACAAATACACATTTTATATCTTTTGTATCAAATTTGGACCTCATATAATCTAGTACCTTTGCATATACAATACGTTTATAAGTCTTCATGTGAGAAACATAAGGTTTCCTCCCACTCCAAGCTTTTTCGGGAGTTTTTGATATAAGTGTACTTGTAGGGCACCTATTCCTTGTATACATTGCTGTTACTATGACTTTCGCCTAATATCCAAATCCAAGATTTTAAGCATGTAGCATAATCCTTTCCATCTCCACAATAGTACGATTTGCTCTTTCAGCAATTCTATTTTATTGTGGAGTGTATAGAGTAGAGGTTTATCTTGCAATGCCTTGAGTCTTTGAAAATTCATCAAAATACTTTGACATTTACTCACCTCTATTGTTTGTGTGCAATACTTTGATCATATAATCATATTACTTTTTCACAAGTGACTTAAACTCTTTGAATCTAGAAAAGTATTCACTTTTACATTTGATGATATAAATTTACATCTTCTTTGAAAAATCATCAATGAATGTGACAAAATACTATGCTCCTCCTATTCATGGTGTCTTTATAGATCCACAAACATCCAAATGTATAATCTCCAATAATTTGCTAGCACGTGTTGTAGCTCCACTTGGAAATGTGGCCCTTTGTTGTTTGCCTTGAATACAACCTTTACAAGCAAGTGTATTGGCATTATCGCTAAATTGACCAAGATCCATGCTTCTTACCATGGATTGGAGTTTTTTCAAGTTCTTAGCATTTAAATGACCAAGGCATCAATGCCAAATGCCAAACTTATCTTGATCAAATTGAAACTGAAGAAATATGGCCACTTCAATTCCATTCACCATCTTGTACTTGATGAAATAAATGTTGCCATCTCTAAAGCTCTTGGCAATATCATCTCCATCCAATGTCTTTATAAAGCATCCATTCTTATCAAATTATACCTTACAACCATGTGAAACTAATTTACCTATCGAAAGGAGGTTTTTCTTGATCTTGGGTATATGAAAGACATCTTTCAATCTGATCCTTCTCGTTTGTCCTCTCACAAAAATCTCCACTGCAATAGAGCCTATTCCAATAGCTTGTACTATGCCATTGTCTTCCATAAAGATATTTGTTGTTGAAATTTATTCATAAGTATCAAATGAACTCTTATATGGTATCATGTATTCAGTGGCACCTGAGCCAACAATCTACTTGGATATAGCAGCCATGGAAGTATCTTCATTTACCATGAATGCAAAATAATCTCTTTCAAATTACTCATGTATATTTTTGGCACTTTTTCTATCTTCTTTTTTGGCCTCACAGCAATTTTGTATAAATTGACCTTGTTTTCTACAAATGAAGCAAGTTTTGACAATATCTCCTTGATATGAAAGGTTGCCCTTGCTTAGATGTGAGTCGAGTGCTGAATCTTCACTTTGAGGCTCTTTTTCTTTCCGCTTGGTTACTTCATGGGCAAGTCTTGTCGTCACATAGTCTATTGTAAGTTCCATCAACATAATGGACTCTAATGCTACAATGAGGTAGTTATAGGACTCGAAAAGACTCATTAGCAAGATCATGAAAATATCTCCCTCTTCTAAAAGCTTGTTAATAATTATTAATTGATTTATAAGAGCCTTTATTTTATTGACATGAGCCATGAGATCTTCACCTTCTTCTATCTTATAAGTGAAGAACTTCCTTCTTGTAAAGATGATGTTGGATAAGTTTTTGCTCTCATTTATGTTGCAAAGTGTCTTCCATGTTTTGGCTCGTCCTTTGCAAGAGATGATGTGAGAAAAATTGGCTTCATCCAAATTAGTGGCAATCATGCAAAAAACCTTCTTTTTACGTCTTTCGAAGTCCTTACTCTCTTTAGCATCTACATATGAGCTTGGAGCCTCTTCACTTTCATCTACAATATCCCAAAGATTCAAAGATATCAATAAAAGTTCCATTTTAACCTTCTAATGGTAGAAATTCTCTCCTCTAAACTTTTCAATCACTCTCAAACCTTCATCTTCATTAGAAGCCATGTCTAAGAAGGGCTCTATCAAAAAATATCAAGAAAAGGAGTCACTATAAGCTTGAAATCACCAAAAAATAATTTAACACTAACAGAATCTCAAAATGCCTTCTTATGATTAAATAAGTGCTTTTTCACTCAAAACACTCTCAACTCAAGCTCTGAAGCTTCTAACAAGTATGTGTACTCCAATAAACCTCACTATCATGAACTTTCACTCTTTGGAATCAATTATTTTACTATACACACAAGGTAAGTGAAATAACATTAGCAAAACAAAAGACACTATCAAGGTCTTTCTATAACATTTTAAAACTCTCAATATTAAAAGAGATAAGAATCCACAAAGCAATGTTAAAGAACTATAAGATCAAAGTCAGTACTTCTTCATGCCTAAAACATAAGTTTCAATCTTAGAAACTCTAACATCAGTAAACACCATAAGATCTATTCTATACAAGTACAACTACAAGAGAATGACACTAACTTACTTGAATGGCATAACAAAGTGTGAGTGGGCTCATAACCTATTGAAGAAATACAACAAGCAAGACACAAGTAAATAGAAATCACCAAGATTGCACACAAGAGAAGTATGGAATGGGATATCTCTCACTTCCAACATCCTTTATTTATAGATAGTAGTAGTTGTTAACCAATGAGGCAACTTCCATCCTTTTGATGTTACATTCATTTCTACTTCATTCAATTAAATCTTAGATTTTTTTTTTACCTAGCAGCCACCTTAATTACTTCCCTTCATCTTTTTATTGCGCTTTGACCATTAGCAACTTATCTTAAATAATAATTATTTACTTTAACAATCTTCATATATGTAATGATATAAGACACTGAAATATATACAAAAAATCACCAATAACTTTACAATATATATGAACCAACAATCAAGACATATATTTATAAACTTGATTAAAATATAAACTTACAAGATTATGTAGTAGTACACTTTAATTCATCAAGTAACATATTGAGATTTATTTGAGTGTAAATTTATAATTGCTTTGAATTATTTATCCAAAAAAGATAATCCATAAGTAAAATATAAGCAAATTCATATATAAGTCCTTGTTATTGCTCATATTCTATTCAATGAGTCCCTGTTACTAATCTTGCGTGGTTCTATAGTTTTAGATGATGCTCTTCACACTACATTGTGAACCAATAAACACTAGACTTTCATTAGTTGCAGCATTAAGTTAAGATCTTCATTCGTACCAAGCCTATCGCTCGATTTAAGGCTCCAAAAGTCACAATCACGAAGGGAGTTTGATTCAGATATTTGTCATATTACTGCAAAATAGTCACAAGTGTTTTGAAATAAATTTGCATTTTGTGTGGTGTCATGATGATGTTACCTGAAGTTCAGGTGTATCGACAATTTGAAGGATTTCAATTGTTGTAAGCTCACGATGCTAAGGTCATCAACATCTGAAAACTTCGAATCCCTTTTACATACAAATTCCTTCCAGGATCCGTTTGTAGATTGTTAAAATAAAATGAGAATGATGTGACAACCTCACTTCAAAAAAAAATTCTAAAATGGCAAGACATGGAGTGTTCAGAACCTGAGCTAGAGGGGTTAAGACAACGGATTGTGACAAGTTCTCATGCGAATAATCTTAAATACTTACCCCAGCATACTGGTCCCAACTGCGTCACAGCTGCATATGGCAATAATTTAAGTTTCCAATTTCCATATCGTGTCCAGGATATTATTAAATTGTGAATCGAGCAACATACAGGTGCAGCCTCTACAAATAACCCGTTTCTGTCACATTGATTCTTGGGAACGCCTTACTATCCGGCTCACCTTTCGCTTGAACTCTTCTTTGGTCTCTCGCCACTCTTTCTGATATGCGCATAAAGTGTAATTATTGCCCCGATAAAAAATAAAAAATAAAAAAATCTGAACCTAATGAATAATCAGACCTAAAATTAGGAATCTGCTTTGCAAAGGAGTTTCAGCGAGAAAGAAGGTTTTGGCAAGGGATGACAGAGTTGTTTGCAACAAGTTTACCCATCTCCGCCAGTTAGATTAAGTGTCTGCCTTAGCACAAAGTCTAGAATATTATGTTAGCAACAAGAAAACGAGAGAATTAATTGAACATGATTTTGAAGAAAACTTCCACCTTACCGCAGCATCTATATTAGCAGGTGATTCATCATTAGGACTGGAGAGCATAGATATGATGCTTAAAAGAATTGTCTCCACCTGCACTTTCACAAACAACTATCAGTCGGACACTAACAATTAGAATTAGATACCAAGTTTGCATCTACAGTGGGCATGAAACACACATGAATTGCATAGCAACACCTTTACTCGATAAATAAAACACTTTGATAACTCACAGTATGCACGGGAGACCAACGCTCACTCGCCAATTCATAACCATTTGGATCATCACCAGGAGCATGTAGAATTGAAATGCAAACCCGTCCATCAGGATAAACTGCACATGAAAAGTCAAGGATTGGTATGGAAATAAGCAGAACATCGTAAAGAAAAATTAAGTCACATGAGTGCATTCAGAGTCAAACCAGAGTTCTTTCTGGGACAAGAATTAAACCTATTTAGTCTGATTAAGCTCAATTACACGCTAATTTTGTGATCAACAATAGCAAGACAAAAAGAGCAGTGTTCACTTCCCCACTGAAATGCAGGTTTCTGCAATCATAGAACGTATCTAATACATGTTAACTACGACCTAGCTGACTATACATCAAAATAAAAATAATAATAATAATTATTATTATTATTATTATTATTATTATTTAAAAAATAAAGGAAATGAAAACAACTTAAAACCGAAACAATTGTTTGACAAATACTTCATGCAATCGTCTCTACGTTAATTACTCCCATCACTATAGACGAGAGAGCTACAGATTCGATGTGAAATGCGTTCTTCCATCCTCGTCACTCTGGATTTAAAGGTGAGTTTGGAGAAAAATTAGAGCTACCCCTAATTACCAAATATTGACAGAAGCATTAATTAGGGGTGTCCAGCGAGAAATTCACAAGGGTGAACTTACCCGGTGAAGTGCTTGCCTGGAAAACCTGGTTGATACAGCACCGTAACAGGCATGCTTTTGACAACAAAAAAATTACTAAATTGAAAGACAACTTACAATCAGCAGGGCCAAAGAATATAACGATTTCACTGACCATTAGGATGCCACATGTCGGATGTGAATCTAACCGATGGGGGGCTATTAGGATAGTTTGGTGGAAAGCTCATGATAGCAGTAAAATAGCCTCCTTCACTGTACTCAGACAGTCATCCCCCCCATAAGTACAAACTTCATAACGTGTACAATGTGTTTTATAATTTTCAAAGAAGTTGAACAATATTACACATGGACTGTATCAACAAGGTTTTCTCACCAACAACAGGCACATTTTCTGCACGTGAGTTCCTTACAAAACTGGAAGATTAATCAGATTTACGCCGAAGAAGTTTGATCGTTGAGCTGATTAACAGAGCCAAATACGAAAAATAAAGTAATCAGAGGCAAACCCTAAACCAATCAGCTAACACGACCACATGCATCCACAAGCATCACCCCATTTGTACAAACAGAATACTACTTACTAGAGAGTATCTGGAGGCCCAATAATCGTCACATTCCATTCGAACAAGTTGGAGTCGTCTACAAGTCCTGCTGAGAATCCATCGACAGGATTCCTAGACAAATCTTCAAAAAAATAAAGATGAAAAAACTGTTAAAACAAGGCAATTATTGTGTTTAGAGCTCTGATTCTTCGGCAAACCGTGATTTAATCATATATTAGCTTGAATCTTCAAGAACGTGAGTACCCGGTACAGAAAATTATTCTTCAAAAAAATCACTGTAGATTCTGACAAGGACTGCAGCTGCAAAAGTGCAAAGCTCGCTGATACACCCCAGCAATGAATCATGGCTCCTATTTAATCTCGGTCTAAATCCACAGAATGCTTATCTCTGACAGATGTTGAAGTGAACGGAGCTCGACCGCGTTACAGAAAGAAGCCTTCTAGCGATATCAATTTCAGTTTTTTGATGGGACACAGTCAACCATTGAGTCACCCCAACCCGCCAGACTACACAAAAACGTGATTCGTAATTGTGTTACCGTTATCAGCTGTATAAAATATTTGTGAAGCATGTTCCACAGTTACCTTCACAAGTCTTCCATCTGGACAATAGAGGCCATTATCAATGGGACCAAACTAAAAAAATATTTCCATAAAGTTACATGACAACAGACGCAGAGGAGATTACCCACCTTTAAGCTGCTTCCGCAGCAGAAGGCTCGCCTGGTTTTCAGCCATTGTGATGATACCCAGCTGTAGCAAATTGACGGGGGGCGAGAGTGCGTGAGACCAGTAACCCTAAAAGAGGAATGGGAGAGAGAGAGAATGAGTGTGAGTGAGTGAGTAAGTGAGTTGGTGCAATTCATGTGGCCGTGCAGTGAAGGCAGTTTGGAGGGCTTTGTATTTTAAAGCCCCATCGTAATGCCCAAGTTATATTCTACATTCAGGTTTTATATTAACTTGGATACACAGGATTAAGGTCTCATCATTGGTCAAAGGCTCTTTTATATATATATATATATATATATATATAACTGTATATATGTATTTATAACTCTGTCATCTCTTGGAGTTTGATTTGCTTTGTGCTGTCTATTGCTTTTCGTATCTAACTTGTAAAAAGAGTCTTTAATTTCAATTCACATTAGATCATCTGTTTGTTTTGTGATTTGGTTGCTAAGGTAGCAAGATAGGAGGTTGACTAATTTGCAACTTAAACTTATATTAGACTTCACTTGTATTCATGAAGTCCAGCCACAAATCCTCCATTTGTATTGACAAACAATTATTTGTATCATTGTCATTTTTCAAGTCAACCTTAACTTCATGAATCACCTTGTGATTTGCATTTAACTTACACATAAGATGCCTTGTGATTTGCAATGTACTTGGAATTGAGGTACGTTTGGAAGGCAAAGTTGCCTTCTAAAGGTGAAACAACTTTATTTGTTTATTTATTTTCATTCAACTTCTTTTAATTTTAATTTTAATTTTTTTTCAATTATATTCCACATTATAATTCCTTGAATTGTTGATACTTTTTCTTATTTAGATCTTATCCTTTATAAATATATTTTTATTTAATGATTGTGAATGCAAGAAGCTTCATACACTACAAATTCTTATTATAGGTGAAGGATGGAGTAAAAAATTAAAAAAGATGCAGATTGTTTGAGGGGTATTCTCACTATTATAAAAAAAATAGTACTTTTCTTGCATTGGTTGAAGAAAACAGTTATTTGTACAAATTTTGGATATAATTTTTTATTTTCTGTTTCTATAATACCTTAAATGCAGTCACCTCTTGTTTGAAAGTTTTACATCATGAAAATAATATTTGTTATGTTTATGGCGTGAAAACCCTAAAATTAGCTATGTATTTTTTTCCCAAATTTGCTATTGCATGTACTCATTTGATTTTTTTTTATGTGGTTCTCCAATCTACAGTCAATTGATTGCAAACAATTTGTTAAAATTCTTCCTTTTAAATACATCCCAATAAAAATCTTACATATCATGAAGTATTCAATGCCAATATAAAGTAATGAATGTAATTTGTTGAAATTGATTAAAATTTCATATTTTTCTTAATATCTATAATTAGTAAAGAGAATTATGAAAACATCTCAATATCTTTACAGATAACGAAGAGATTTCACTTCAATGTAATTTCAAAAATATTCACTTCTACATTGTTGCATGTGTCTAAAAATATAATTTAAAAATTAAACACTTGTGTACAAAAAGTAATAATAAAACATAAATATAATGATAGTACACTTATATATTTTTTTTTAAGTATAATTTTTTTTAAAAATCAAGTACTAAAATTATAAAAATATATAAAAAGGCATAAATATTTTAAATTAGAAAAGTTTAATTTTTGTAAATACTCTTATATAGTAATTTAAATGTAATAGATTATAGTATGAAGACATGTTATTTGACTTCTTTTTTATACATAATTTGTAGATTAATTTAAAAAACCACGTGTTTATTTATAAGAATATAATGAATAGTATTTGTAAAATAAAACTTTATTATATATAGCATCTTAAAAATAATTATGGAAATTTGTTTTATAAAATTTAATAACAAAAGAAAAGTATCTTAAATTATTATAAGATTTAAATATTTGAAAAAAATAAAATAGTAATTTTTTTATATAATCTTTTGGTTTTGAGAATTTTGAATTCATATCCAATTTTGTTTTTAATTTACTCTTAGTCTTTTACATTGTTTTACAACTCTCACAATCACATGTGAGATATATTTTGTAAATGTGGCTATAGATATAGGAGAATATTAAATAGACCCATACCTTTACTAAATAGATACTCTTGATGAAGAATATGTTAATTACAATGAATTTGGCTGGTTTTTATTGCTTGCAGATCCAAAAGTGGAAAAATGAATCTAGAAATCATTATATTTTTTCATGATGGTTAAGATAGTTGGGTAGATTTTATTTTCCAGAAAGATCTGTATGTTCTCAAGACATCAAGAAAGATCTTTCTTTTTTCAAACAGGGAGAAGAACTGAACCCCCCGAAATGTAGAAAACACAAGAACGTGATTGTTGCATTAGAAAGGAATCCAGCGTGAGTGAGAGAGGTGTTCAGAGGTGAAACTTCGGTGTGGAAGAGGGAAATCTGCTGCGCAACATGCGAGCCACAGGGCCTTCAACCACCACCTGCATCATCACCATCAGCATCCTCTTCAGCACGAGTACCGTCACCGCAATGCCATGAGCCAAGTCTGTGTCTGTGTCTGGGTCATCCCTCACGTCGCAGAATCTATGCACAACGTACAGTTGAATTACAGGCGATGGCAGGAAATAAAGTCATCACCTTCTGCCACAAACATACGGCAACAGAGTTGGAGACGTTGAGAATCCACAGATCTCGGCGAAAGGAAGGGGGCATGGCCGCACTGGGAGCTCCCCCGTCTTGCTGATATGCTGCCAACACAGGGGAAGTGGCGTTGGGCCCGTTGAACTCCTCCCTGTCCACTTGCCAGAGATGCGTGAAGGATAAATGCGGAAGCAACAGTACCAGTGACATTGTCACGTAGATGCACAACCATGAAACCTGTCCACACCACGTTACGACCCATTCATTGATTATAAAACGAATCCATACTCATGTCTGATATGCGTCATATCACACCCCGACGGAAGCTCATCTTTCTCACGTTGCAGTCCAGTTCCACACTCACAAGGAGCACCTACCATGAGAAGATAGTTTCGGAAAACTGGCTGACGGAATGTCGATCCAAAAGTGAAAACAACCGATGAAGTGATGAATTGGAAATAGATTGTAAAGAAAGTAACAGTCGTTTCCCAATTATCTCCTAGCTCCCACCACGCATTCCGTTTAGATAATCTGCACGCTCAATCGATGTAAGCCAAAGTAAGGCACAGGATGTTATACAGTGGATACATTCCGTGGTGCGTTAAGCATTAATAAATTTGAGTAGTAGTTAACAAGGCTGGTGCTCACCGGGCAGGCCACTTCACGTAGTCACTTTGGACAGACATGAAGGGGAGGGCACCCAGGACGAACAACAAGTTGATGATCCACAGGCCTAGTACAGATGCCACATTTTGCGCCACCAGTAGGCTAGAGGTCGGCCGATCCTGCAATCCTCACCCAGGGATTTATCAACATAGCTTCACAAGATTAACTGCTCATTGACTAATTCCAAGCGGTGGAAAGAGATCATTTTCGGAAAACAGATATTGAATTTCAACGTTTTCTCCTTAACAGGGATGAGGTTCAATAATCAGCTCTAGCGTACCCATCAACACGGAATTTAAAAGGTCCAAATCTTACACCTTCGATAAGCACGTCCTAGGGTTGCTGAGGTTCATAGTGTAACCCAAGGCCAGCACTGCCACACCGTCAATGAAGATGTAGTCCATTGTGCATGCGATAATCCCATTCCTGTATGACTTCTGAATATTAATGTATAGGCTGCATTTTAAATGCAATAGTGCAGTGTTATAAGCTTCAGAATACTCCCATCTCAGCTTCCAAGTCTAAGGTTAGGGATATGAAAGTACCAGTTGAAGGACAGCTTGAGGATGGAGAAACTCAAGCCGTAAATAATGAGGAACTTATAACACGCGAATGAAGTATGCAAATCTGCTCGACCTTCGCGCACCAGTTCAACCGCAGAAGTAATCTACAAAAAATTAAGTACGCATTGTTGTGGTTGTTTAGTTTTGAATCAACACATTAGTATCAAGTGATGTCCATTTACACTCAGATCAACCGCACACGAGCGGGAACCCTGACGTGGACTCACTTACAGTCTTGGCTTTGGAGGTGAAGGGAGACACCACTGACGCCTCCGCTTCACTAAGGGCAAGTCCAGCATGAGCACAACGCAGAGCACCACAATCGTTTCCACCATCTCCGCACATGCTCACTACTTTCACCTGCTCAGTCTCATCAGGTCCCAGTTAGTTGCAACACTGAAGATGGACACATTGAATTCTAAAAAACCCCATTCCCTCTATGAAAGTGATTGTACCTTATCCGCAGGAGTGAATCGAGAAAAGATCCGGGTATACAAAAGCAGCTCTTGCATTCTCCCCAACCTGCATAGATCATTGAATGCCTTCCCTGTTACAGCCAACTCTGTCAGTCCGGCCTCCAGGCCTTTCTGATGCACTCTAACCATGTCTGTCGTGGATAGAGCCTGGCTACTTCTGGAAGAAATTGTCGCCATAGGTTGCCATTGCAGACTGCATCAAAACGAGTTGAGTGATGAACTTGAAACCAAAACCAAAGTCAATCCAACTTTGAGAACTGTTCTTCATTTGGGGCTGCTAGTTTCCTTTTCCTCCTCACCTTTAGGTTGGTGAACAAGACCATACCTGCCTTCGTCGTTGACCTCAGCTCACAAGACTTGAACATTTTCCGCAACCATTGCACACTCCTTCGCGATGTAGAGTCCACATTGTGCATTGTCACCAGTGACCATCACTGGTCGAACCTTCGAAACAGACATCACCAGGTACTATGGTCACTCGCAGGCAAACTGTGAGGTGATAAATAATGGTGATAAATAAGTAGTTTTTTAACAGTTGGTACAAATCAATCAGGTAGCAATGTTATTTGCACACCTTACCATCACGCAGATCCAAAATTGCAGTATGACTGTCTGATTTAAGCTCATTTCGAAAGAGAAGAAGGGCGATGAAATTAAGGTCGGCCTCCAGATCATCACGAGTGAGAGCGTTCACCGAATCCACGGTAAAATCCTTGCCTAAGCTCCTTGAACACATGAATCGATCGACTGATTTATCCAGCTAGAAAGTGCTCACTACGGATCATGATCTGCCCGACTAAGCACGACATAATGCACAACCAAAAATCTCTAAAAGTATGTCTTCACAAAAGGATACAAGTGCCACAGCTCCTCCATGTATTAGTGACTGCACGGAGAGGCTACATACAGGCAAGGGCATTTCATGAAATTCATCAAAAAACTACACCGATTTCTCAATTTGTCATTCAAATTGCGGACAGCACATACTTGTGACTGAGACCTAACACATAGCAGCCATTGAGAGCATGATTCTTGGCAGTCTGAATGTAGTCCACTGGTAAACTCGCAACACTACTCACTTCCTGAATTTTTTCGAAAGACCCCTGCAGAAAGGGTCATGTACACTAGTTATCGTGAATTAAATGGACACATCAATATGTGAGAGAGTCCTCCCTCAAGAAATAAATGAAGTAATGGATAATCGTCTCCTTCAATTGAGAAACTTTTGCCAAATATTCAGGATTACCTTGCAGTACACATGAAGCTCACCAGTGTTGTCTCGAATTACTACACTCATGGTTGCACGAGGATGCTGAAACTCATTCCGCCTCAAAATAGTGATTGCATCCCCAGTGCACCGGTTGAAAACAGTGGGATATGGCTGCGCAGTAGTAACCCCCTCAGCAAGGTCCCAACCTACGGACGAAAACATTTTTACCTGCATTACGATTCCTCATGAAATAAGCAGCTTTTCGAAGTATCCTTGATATGGGAGAGTCCACGCAAACTCTTCGTGAGCATCTTTGCAGTGACATTACCTCGACTTCATTACCCACAAACTGAGCGCCAAATTTAGTGACGGCGTGGCAAGTGGCAAGACCTTGCAATAGGATATTGGGGATGAGATCGTGTTTCAAAGGGGATTGGGTGGGGCAGAACTGCGAATTCTCGACCCCTCGAAGACCAATAAAATCCAACCCGCCGTTGGTGAGTGTCCCTGTTTTATCAAAACAGAATACCCGTATCTTTCCAGCAGTTGCAATTCTTTTCGCATTGAGGCAGAATATGCCAAGGTTCTACGCAATCATCCACGCACATCAGAGTAAGTTATTTCGACAAGAACCCGTATAAATTCCAACCAAACCAAAATTTGGCAAGGCACCACCATCAGATTTCACATCAACGTTTGAAGTGCAGGGTATAACAATGGTATAAACTGAATGCATGCTGCACACTTACCTTGAGGCGCTCAGATGCATAGATTTGTCCAATCTCAAGGGAAACAGGAAGCAACGGTGACATAATCTGACTGATAATGGCGATGCAGTAACTCCATTTGGTAATCCAGGTGCTTTGTTGTCCGTTCCGGTACTGCAAAGGGTAATTTACGAGTTGGTCTGCCAGCTAAATGTTGCATCGCATTTACAGAAAAAAAAGCATAGGTAAAAATTCTATATCGAATAGTACAGACCTGGAAGATGAGAGACATGGCAAAGCAAACAGCTGCATAACACAAGAGTAGTCCCACTACTATCGGTAGCTCTTCGTCATACTTGAACACCATTTGCTCAGGAAAGAGGATCATGCTTAGCAATCTTCCTTTGGATGTGCTCATTCCTGAAAATACCACTTACATCGTTTCAAAAACAGATAAAATAATTTCATCTCGTGGAAGTGACAATAAATATCACAGCAACAACTAAACATGAAGCTTCCCCTGCCGAGGTTTAGTAACGTGCCTGTCGCTGTAACAATACCCAGTGCTTCCGTGGATCCGTCTCCTGCTCCTGCCTGCAGCACCTGCGTGCCCGAAAACAAGGTGTGGTGCGCTCCCCCAGGACTGTCCGCCTCATAAACGGAGTCATTCTCCGGAGAACTGTACTTGTGCACCGGTATTGCCTCTCCCGTTAGGTTGCTCTCATTGCACACACACACTCCTGCGCATAAACCACCATCATTGCTTCTCCTTTTCAATCGAGAAATAAAGGCACACTTGGGCGAAAGCAAGTTTTGTTTCCGCTTACCAGAACACCTTCTGCTGTGAATGCTCACAGAAATAAGTTTGTAAGATGGTAGTCCATCCTCAATTCAGATTGGGTCAAAAAAGAGTACCTTTTATTATTAGAAGATCACAAGGTAGGGACCAATTGCTGTACACTTTGACAACGTCACCTGGGATTAGGTTGAGAAAATCAATATTCGTCCAATTTCCATCTCTCTTGACTTCCACATTGCTTTCATATTCTGTGAGCTGCGTTCACCAAGAAACTATTTTAAAGTAGAACCGGCAGACTTGATAATTATATGTTAAACCAGAAGTAGAGCCCTCGGCTAAGTCAGGACTTTGATACAAGTAGTGGCTGACTGAATCGAAAGTGCTAGAAAATCAAAACTCCATGCACTCGGAACTGGCACGGACTTGGGCACGAGAAGCTGGGAGGAAACTAACTGTGGTGCTCCTTAATACCCACCTTCCATTGTGGTGCTCAGATTTTAAAAGAATTCTAAAAACAATTTGTGGCATGAGAAGCGTTACTGGACCACACACCTTGGCAATAGCAAATTGGGCTCGCCGACGATTAGCAGTGGTGATGAGTGCAGCAACCAGCACAATAGATAAGAGAAGGGCCCCAACAAAAAGGTAGGAGAGCCAAAGCCAGATGGAATAGATGAGAAACTGGTACACCTTAAACAATGTGAACATCTCCTCCGCAATGGACACCCATATTGCCTCTGGCCTGTATGGCATTTCGTTGGGTCCGATTTTGTCATACCTCGCACGCGCTTCCTGTCTGGACAATCCCTCCGCCACCTGAACCAATGTCAAGTCAAAATGGCTCCTCTAGCATTCCCAAGAATTACTCTAGCTTAATGTGTTCCCAACCTAATTTGATGTTTGAATTGTAGAGCTGAAAGACGAAATTACTGACTTTGTGAAAATCTCGAAACGTATGACCTCCATCAAAGTGCGCCAAGTGAAGAGTGCCGTCCTCAGAAATCAGATGCCTCTGCCCTTTGGAAAGGAAGTGGAGCGTGCCCATCTCTGTCCTCGTCACAGCAACCGTCTCTGTGTGATCCAGCCGTTCATGTCTAGACAACGTATCCTGCAGGCATTGACAATTTAGTGCCACCTTATTAGAAAGAGGAGTTCATCAAATAATAATTAGCGAGGTCGGTCCACATTGAAGAAGCGGACTAATTGTACATGTGATGATTAATGTTAGGTTAGATTGTAACCACTAACCTTCACTTTGCGCACAATATGGACAAGGCTGAGGACTTTGACGGATAGGATCTGCTGTTGACCCTTGGCCCAGACCTGTACTACATGTGCACTAGCTAGAGCACACGGCAATCTGAACCAGTTATGCATCTCTCGTTTGTACACAACCAACACCGTAAACCATATCGCTGACAAGCACCAAAGAGTGAAAAATACCTGATCAGAAACGAATACGTTAGACATGAATGAAAGAGGGCATAAAACATTAAGTTCATGCAAGACAAACCATATCTCACCGAGCCGTTGCGGTCGTACGACCCAAAGATGAAGTAGGTTCCATAAAAGCAGAGATTGTTAATGCCGGTCAGTTGACATGAGTAGTACGCATCCAGCAGCACGACGATGTAAAGACAAATCCACTGCAAGGGTCCCAGAATCAACAAGCACCAGCATATTTCCCCTCCTATCACTTTTCGGTAGCCATCGAATTGCACATTTGAACCTCCCTCACTTTCTTCCACTTCAATCACGGATTCAGCTGCTGCTGATTCCGCCACGCCATTTCCACCACTGCAATCTTGATACGTGTTCTGACTCCTTGCCGATTTGCTGGAGCTAGTCTCCGACAGAGTGACAGGGCTGCATGGATGCTTTCTTACGTGCCATGCCCTGTAAATATGGAAAATTGCCACAGCAACCACCACCAGAAACCAGAAACTAAACACTGCCAAAGGCCTCTCTGTGACATTGATGTAATCAAGACCTTGCACGTTGGGTCTTCGGAGCTCCCACATGTAGGAGGTCCAGTCGGGTATGTCGTCATCTCGAAACAATCTCCTTCACGTCTCTCTGAGAGACATGGGTTTCAAGACCTAGGAATAAAAATATATCGCTAAGATGAATAGGAACATAAATTTCAGCAACAGTTACTGTCTCTGACGATATGATTAGCAATCAACATCAATCTTGTGTCCAAACCTGTCCACACAACGCAATGGATGACCATGAGCATTTGGGATATGAGTTAACTGCAAGAAACGAATTCCATTTGACCAATTCTGTGAACGCCCTTAATCAGATACTTTCATGATCCACAATCCGTCTCCTCAACAAGTCATATTCAATGTAGTCAAATTTAGGTGACAGCAAGAAGCATCAACGATCGGACCAATTGAGGTGAGTTTTCAAAGACGTCAGAGGAATTTTATAGGTTCAAGGAGGAAAATAGTTCAATGAGAAAGTATATGCTCACCACTGCCAGTTTTGATGTCTAAAAGCCATGATCTCCTTACTATCTATGTTGTGCGGAGCACGATCGTAACAGCTTGTTGAACTACTTTCAGACTGCAATTTCATCCAGGACATCGTTTTACTTGAGGAGGCATAGCCAGAGAACGCTCGCAGATTCTACATGTGAATGACTAGAGTTTCCGAATGAAATATTGCACGAGAAAACCATAAGAAATATTTCAGCCTATTCATATTTTACGTCTATGTGCCCGAATTTGGAAGCAAATCAACAGATTCATTTTACAATCCGAGAGTACCCAATGGTAATGAAAGTACAGAGGTCATTGACAACTCCTGTGAAGAGAGGACACCAAGCAATAGTTCCAGCAATGTAAAAAAGTAACTTAGGATGTCACCTTTGCTGAACCGAGCTCAAGTAACAGTTCCCACTTAAGTAAAAGTCATGTCTCATCACTTATCAAACAAAATTAGAGCAGTCATTAATTTTAGACGAAAATGATATTCTAAACTGGGAGCAAAGTCTACCTACTATTGAGTGACTGTTCCGTCTACTCAGACTCGAAAGGACATAGACAGACAAATATCTAGCAAGAACGAACTTTGGATGATGAGAATAGGCCGCCACAACAACACTTACGAGGTGCAGGTGATGGCGCTGCTGCGAACGATTCTGCTTCTTCTCCACCTCTTCCTCTTCCTCCTCCTCCTGCTCCTCCTACTCCAAGCTACTACGTGGAATGGAGTGTCCAAGTGAGGGGTAATACTCGAAGGGGTCGGCAATGAGCAGGGCCTGCTCTGGGCCAGTTGCCACCCTCACCCTTCAACCGCAGTCAACTGAACACACGATGGAAGGGGAAGGTGATTGATTGATAGAGATATTAATGGCCACCCACCCTTCCGTAGCAGTCTTTTGGTGGAATCCCACTTTATGGGTACATCGCATTTTACGTCACGACACGAAGTCATCTCCTCCTCCTCCAAGCACCTGCCGTCTCATATATGAAGAATAAAAAGGAAAATTTTCTAATGAGAATTGAAAAAGTCACAAAGCAGTGTGACTGATTTTGAGACTTCATTTATAATAATACTTGCATTAACATAAATAAGTGGAATAATCAGACATACGTAAAAATCAACAGTAAGTGATATTAAAAAAAACTTTCTTTGACTTACGGTTACAATATCATATGTGAAAAGTCATAAAGTTGTTGTAGGTAATAATTAGTGGAATTACAACTTTATCAAAAATGATTGATTGTAGATATCAAAACAACATATTCCAAAACTTTAGGTGTTAGAAAAGTTTTGTGTCTTGTTCTTGTGCAACTAGCCAGCTATGTTGAAAAGTAAGAGTTTCTTAATGCTAGTCACTAAAGTTGAGGGTTTATTGGATGCTAATTAAATTTATACAACATATGTGTACAATAAATGATTTGTGACAATTACTAGATTTTATTTTTATTTATGTTTAAATATTACAATACTTGGTGAAATCAAATAAATAAAAATACAATAGTAACAATAGCACTTCAATCACTAGAAGATGCATTCCGAAACCACATTGCGTGAACCGAAAATGTAGATTGAAATAACCAAGATCTGCATACAATTTTATACATATTCCTCAAGCTACTCTTTAGGACCGCTAGTCTTGGAGGGGCCAGCGCGCTCCACCATCACATCATATAGCTGGTTTCCATTCTGCACGGTGCAAAAAACCAACATATGCAAATCATAAAGTGGAATGTGCTAATAGTTGGTGCAAAGTTAACGAGAGTGTGTGCATTTGAGTGATGTGCAAGATTTGGAATTTTTATGGTGTACTAAAACTTCCAAGAATTGAATAGGCAAATTATCGAGAACATTAGTTATTTCATAAATTTCCTTACTGCGGAATATTACGCCAGCAAAGATCAAACAAAATTTCCACGGAATTACTTACGAAGATAACTGGGAAGAAGTGAATCTGGCCTTCTGGTTTTGTCTGAGTCTCCTTGAAGTAAACAAGTACGGGGAAGATTGGCCACCACAGCTCCCAGTTCACAAAGGATGAATAGCTGACAGAATGATTTTCAACAACATTTAATGAACATAACAAAATAAAGTACTATACGCACTCTAGAAGTTTCAAGGAGTGTCCAGCAATTCTTAAATAACCCGAGTTCAAATTCCATTGAAAAAAATTGGAGTCCTAGGCATATGCACAATATCACAAGGCAGACATGAACTCACCTCCACCTATTCTTGCCTCCAACGAAGACATTCTCACCCGATTCATCCAGTTCCTTTCCAACCTTCACTTCCTGCACATGATCGAAAAAGTTCCCCATGAGAGCTCTTAGAGGTACAAATCCTGATGCGTGCATTATGAGCTAGAATGCGAGTGGGAGGGAGAAGAATAAGAAGTGCTTTGCCTCAAACAGAATCCGCTCTTTCGAAAGTGGTGCTCCAAGTTAAAAACTTCCGACCTTCTCAACCGATTTTCGTTTCCTTTTACCCTAAAAGTCTATTGATTTTAAGTTCATGATGTCTATGCGTGAATTTTAATGAGCAGTCTGTCTTTGAGTGAGCACTCATTGGTGCGTTTTCGTATGTACATATACATGTTGACAATAGCAATAAGTACTTTTCACAAGTTTGATATAATGTGTTCCAATACTTAACGTCGCTATACCAGTTCTAACTATGTTGAGTGAAGATAATACTTTATGGACTTTCAGATTTCAAAAAAATGAGTTGCTGGTTGTGAACTCAACAAAGGTCCACTACAACGAGGGAAGCGAGAAAGAAAGAAACCCCAACTGCGCCAAAAAATAGGTATTTATGAGTATGAAGCACTTACCAAACCTTCATCGTCAAAGACGAACCTCACTCTGGTAGTCTGTCAAGATCATGAAACTCGAGAATGCATTATATTAGTGAAGTGACTTTTATGACACAGCCAATGCCAAGCTAGGTAAAAGAATAATCTCATCCAGTTTAGTTTCAAGTGATTTTGACGTGGTAAGAACCAACACCTGGACTAAGAGGAGCAAGCCCAGAAGGCCAATTGGAGCTGCAGGAAGCAAATTGTCTTGGTAGAGCAGTGCTCCAGCCGTTCCTACGCAATTCAGCATAAGAATGTGTATATTCGCAGTCAGCTATTAGATCTAGAGGAAAAGGGCCAGAATATTTTTTTTGAGAAAAGTCGTGTTGGAAGATCAAAGGAGAATATGCTCGGACAGAGTGGGATAATAATTTAGGCCTTTGTACCCTCGAACAGCGCGTAGAAAAATGATGTCCTCAACGACATGCTTCATAGCAGCTTCACTACCAGATACTTAACTCAAATAGGTGGACATTGGTGTCGAGAAAAGATGAAGAAATACGTGGAAAACATGCATACCCAGAAGAATTATAGGGATCCGGTAGTCAGGGTCGGGGATTACGGTGGCCCGAGTAGTTTTGGGCGTTGCTTTGCTTTTTCCAAACTGTAAGAAGCATAATTCAAGCTGTGGTCACAACCGCACCTCCAAAGGGGTGACACGGAAGGCAAAAGAAAAAAGAAGGAAGCAATTAAGATGATGGTAGGAAGACGTACAAGGGCAGTGGTGGTGACATTGCACTTCCGGTGGTGATGCAGCGGTGGCAATGCAAGGGCGGGGAGGAGGGTATGATAGCGAGGCAGGGGAGAAACTGCATCAAAGGAAAGGAAAGGAATGGATGAGGTAAAGGAGAATTCGATGGATTGCATTGGAGGATGAGGAACAGAGGAGGAGGAGAGGAGGGGATACTTACAGAATGTCGACGAAGGTGAACGGTTGCAAGCGGGAGGCAGAGCGGCTGCTCGAGAGCCGCAGGAGCGCAACGAGGATGAGCCTGCCAGTGGCAATGCCAGTGCCATTGCCATGGCAATCAAGACGCAACGCAACGCACAGCACAAGCAGAGAGAGAGAGAGAGAGAGAGAGAGAGAGAGAGGAGCGGAGCGGAGGGAGGAAGCGAAGGGCGATTGAAGACGTGGATAAGCGAGTACCAGTGCGGCAGTGAAGCAGATGTGCAGAAAGGGACAGAATAGTGTAGAATGAAAAAGATGAGTAAGGCGGTGATGAGGCAACGTAGCGGCTCTGCACTCTTGGTGTCCAGCCTCCTCGAAGAACTGTGTCCAGTCTGGTAAACCTCCCAAGTCAATCGACTGGCTCCGCCATTGTGGGCCGTCTGTGTAGCTACCGCTCAGATCCAATGTCAATCGCTGATCGGATTTTTGGGAACGCCTGAGAACGGAGGGAGGGAGCGCAGGAGAACCAACTGGGCCAGCAGGTGGGAGGGCGACATCACCTAATTAGCATGTATTCCTTGAGTACAGTACCTAGTCCTCACTGCAAGTCCAAAGAAGCACACTATACGAATCAGGCAATTAATTGGTTCCAAGACAAACCATAGTTTGAAATGAAACATGGATGGTATTATAGATCAAGCAGAACATTGCATTGTACAACAAAGCTGAGGTTCACAAACTCTTTACGTGATAGCAACCAATTGAACTTGGGTTGCACACTTGAAACAATACAATTGGAAGATGTAGGATGGGGTTGATTTAAAGGAACAGTGCATTGTATAGCAAAGCTGAGGTTCACAAACACTGTACATGATAGCAACCAATTGACCTTGGGTTGCACACTTGGATCAATACAAATAGAAGATGTAGGATGGGGTTGATTTAATGGTGGCTTCAACCCCTTCCCATAAATGTGGTAAGTCAAACATTAAAAAAATCTACACCTTTTTATATTAAAGACCATTCAAATGGAAAGTTGTCTTTTTCAAAATGATATTTACCATTACACCAAATACATGAATAGTAAAATTTAAAAAAATACTTTATTTATTTGAAATTAAATAGTATTCATCAATGACTTTATTTTTGTACATGATATACTACGTGTAGTTGAGTTGTTATATATTATTGGAAAATAAATAATATTTTATTAAACACAAATATATTTTAGTTTGGTATTAAATGAATTAGGATAGCAAACAAAGTAGCTTGTACTTTGATACTTGATTGTATTATTATTACTTAACTTTAGAATATCAAAAACTAAATTTAAATAACTCTATGTAATTTGTATGAATAATGTTACAAAACCTTTCTCATAATATAACAACATAGAAGATGAAAAACTTATCAAGCTTATTCTTGTGAGATTTCTTTTTTTAGTAATATCCATAATTAATTGGAGAAACAAACAAGTGTGATTACTAATAATTTTTTGAAATTAGGATCTAGTAGCATATTAATGTCAATCCAATTTGCTACAAAGATGCATTTGAATGAAACTCTATAATTACTGAGGACATCATCCAAGTTCCTATGACAAGCAACAAGAGCAATATTAGCACATCTTGTCTCCATCTTCCATGAATGGGTCAAAGAGCAAGATATTCAAAATGATCTTTTGAACTTGCTACTACCTTTTGAGATTTTTTAACTACACCATTAACAGACAAAACAAGCAATCAAAGACAACTCAACTCAAACTCTCCTAAAAGCTACACCAATATTGAGCATTGATGTTCTAAGCAATCCAAAACCATGTAAGTGAATAATCTGATATTCCCTCCATATCCGAATTCAAATATATTTTTTTTTTTATATATTATCTCAAAACATATAGGACTTAAATGAATTAGCCAAAATAGATGTAATAAGGAATTATCATAAAACATATATCTCCAAACTAGATATCTTATATTTTTAGGAACATAAGCTACAAAGAATAAATTTGTTAGCAATTCAAAATAAAGTATGGATAAATAGAAGGATTTTTTTAGATAAGAGGTAATGATAGCTTATAATAACTGTTAAAAAGATAATAGTATTAATAATAGAGGACTATGTATATAGATAGCTCTTAGAATCAACCACCTAGTATTATAAGCAGATTACGTCTAATCTGATAGATCATAATTAGTGAAAATGTAAAACCTTCCAAGCAGTGATTTGGCATTGCAGAATATTTATGCCCCATAGTTAGGGCCAAAATGATATGAACTATAGATAGAATTTCTAGAAATATTATCAAAAGATTACAAATAAGTATTAGCTAGCGATTGAAATTTAATTGAACATAACTCAAATAAATCAAATAATCGAGGTTTTATCATATTGAAACATGAATACAATTTTTTTTTTCTTATTCACAATGACCTTACAAGTTGCTGATCCATTCCTTGAATCCAATACAATTTGCTATAATTGAGAAAGCCAACAATAAGTAGGAAAGAAGTTAATAAAAAGATTAGATTGGATCTATATATTTTCTTTTATTAGATTAGTTATTATAGAATAGAATATAAAATCTAAGGTGATACCACCTATTTAGATCATTATCTAATATAGAGATAAATAATATTAAAACAAAAAAGAAAACAACAATCCACATACATGATAAATGCCTATTATTAATAAGATCAAAAAGTATAGGAATGTATTCAATATATCTAAGTCGTTCATTATTAGCTACTATTTTTTGATAAGTTGAGGAGATATGTTAAATTTCATAAGAATATTAGCATTTATAAATCCAATCAACGTAGGATAGAGAAAAAAAAAATCTAAATAAAAACTTACAATAATAGTTATGGCTTTTTATATAGACTTGAATAATACAAACAACCAAGGTGAACTTATATGATAAATAAACAAACTACAAGATATTTAGAAGCATAAATGCAAGGGCCAATATTTCTAAAGAAAATTGAAATGGAAATAATAGAGAAATGAAGGCTAAAAGGATTTTTTTAGAATCTACAAAGAACACTCCAGTATAACAAACATCTTGATACTTATAAATTCTTATGAGTAAATTTATTATAGTTAAAGAATACTATCATTCATCAATACCAAATTTTATGGAAAGCTTTATAAAAGTAGATAGTCATCATTAGCAATGGATAGTATTAGTGAATACAAATCCTAATTAATTAACAAAGCAATTTGAATTCTAACGAAAAAGGGTTTAAAGCCAATGCAAAAATATTCTTCTTAATTACTTCAAGTGAATACAAATCCTAATTATTTTCTTATTTTTTTTTTTATAACTTCTATTTTTTTTTCTAAACCCTAATTCTAGGCAATAATTGCTATGCTTGAATCCAATACAATTTATTTAATTGTAATTTTTGATCTAACCATGTAATTGATGAATTTTTTTGTAAAATATTAAAAATTTAAATTTTACTAATATGTAATTATAATACATTTTTTATATGCTAAATTTTTTTTAATCCAATCCAACTTATAAATTATAAGAAAAATACAAAAGAATCATACTGGTGTTCTTTAGCCGCTAACTTAAAAGTTAATGATGAAGTTTGAGCAATAATTTTTCTATCTCCAATTGTTAATTTCATCTCCAAATTAGTATATAGCTTGATGTGTTAGTTTATTAAAATCATGCTAGATTTTTATTTGTTGCAATAAGTAGAACTTTAGATATCACCAAAATCCTACTTGATTCTAAATTTCCAACTTCTAATACCTCCTTGTGCTAATCATTGAATATCTTCCAATTACACTATTAAAATAATACAAAAGTTTAGATGCAATTAGCACATCTATTGAACTACGCATTGAAAAAATTTAAACTATAGATGTTATACACATCTTATAAATCAATTGAAAGTGCTAGCTCTAATTTTATTGTCTAAATCCAAAATTATCAATACAAATCCTAATTTTGTACAATGATTGAAAAATCATTTCAAAATCTATAAAAATAAGCTTTAAAACTTTAAAATAAGCTTTAAGCCAATTTTTTGATTCAAATCTTCAATCTCCAAAATTTCCCCTACTTTATCCTAAGTAATCATTTTAGTGGCTAGAGGTCTGATTTTGAACTCAATCCACAAATGATTGTCCCTTGGATATCAATCCAATCTTTCTTAGGAATATTTTAGTACAATCTTATCCTTAACTTCATCTTAGAATTGACTATAAAAAAATATTTATCTAATCTACTTCATTTTTATTAATTTATGGCCTTTCTAAGGTACTAGAAGAGTTTTTTATAATCTAGAAGGTAAATTTTTTAACCAACCTTTAACTTGTTAGCTATTAAAATAAAAAAATAAACTAAGAGGCTTTTATAAAAACCTTGTTTAAATATCTAGAACTATAATTGAATCAAGATAATAGAATATAAATCATAATATTATTTTTGTTTATATTTTTACCATATAGTCATGTTACAACATGACATTACAATGCACAAAGACAAGTCTCTTAGACCAAGTGGAATAGTCTTAGAATTTTATCTTCACTTTTGAAACTTATTAAGGCATAAATATTTCAATATGTTAAAAAAAAAATTATATAGACACTTTTTTCTACTTGACCAAATTCATGAGGCATTTATTTAAGAAAAAAACATTAAATACTAGCAATAATAGAAAAAAATGAGCTAAAATCCTATCAAGTTTGTACAAGGTCAAATGAAAGAATATTTTAAATGATTAAAGAAAATATAAATAATTCAATCTTATCTAGTTGATATGGCATAAATCTATTGAAATAAATACATAGAAGAGTTAGATTAGTGATAATGTGGATTAAAATTATCTTGTTTATCTTGAAACAAAAATAAAATAAAATAAATAAAAATAAAAATTACCTTGCATTGCTATAAGAAATGCAATTTGGTAACTTGAGTGTGTCTTTCAATAAAATATCAATCTGCAAGTCTAAATTGGTTAAAACTATTTCTAAGTATACAAATTTAATAGAAACAAATGAAAATATAATGGCCTTATAAAGTAGGATATTGAATACAAAAAGTAGTGATCATGAAGCAAATCTTGTAAATCATCCCGTAACTCACTAAAAAGAATAATGAAATGTCACCCATGCCTTCAATATTATATAAAAATATAATATATTTTCTATAGAATCTCTCAAAAATTTAAGAAAATTACTCAATTATGGCTTTTATTGTGGTGAATTATTAAATGGCATCTATATATCAAATACAATAATATATTATTTGATGTAAGGCATTGATCAAAAGATAAAAATTACAATATGATGTGGCTTCAATGTGATATAAGATGAAAGATTGATATAGACGGCAACATAAGATAAG